TATACTGCAATATTTCCTCTCTCAATCAGTAGAAAATATGGTTAACACCCGGTCATGCATGAAAAAAATAATTTTGAAAAATACCATTATATAAATTTTTGGTCATACCGCCCAGCACTAGTATGTATACGCAACTCGGTATTTCCGCGCTGTCTGAAACACATCTCTATGCTTGTGTGCGCTTTGATTGTGTGCGAGAACAGCGCGTGAGTAAAGAATTTAGTTTCTTCTTCTTGTGGTTTAAAATTGCTTGTACGTGTAAATTGGCAAATTAATCTGCGAATCACGTGCGTGCTGAACGGTAGGGTCTCATCCGTACGTATTACGGATCAACTGCGATCCGTTTAACTCCTAATATGTGACAGATCAGAGCAATCTTTCATTTACTTATTTAACATGAAATTGTCTAATTGCTACTCCATATCAATCACATACAAAGAAAATACAGAATAGTTAGAACAATCATTAACATAAATAAATAACAGTGTCATATCTACACATATTTCCCGAGAACGTTTTTGTGACCCGGTAGCAATTTAAAAAAAGACAGAACTCAGGAGACTGTAGTTGACACTGTGTGGCAGTGGAAGTGTTTTGGTCATTCGTGCTGTTGAAGGGCAGCTGAATTAACAGCTCAAGACGTGCAACAAACAATTAGTACTGACAAAGTGCTATTTTTACAACAATTTAACAAAGCAACTAAATAAGTAAAGGTAGATCTAAAAATGTAATACTTCATTTAAACTTGATCAGTAACAGCAACAGCAGTGTTGTCACAGTACCAAAATGTCAGTAGTAAGTACCAATACAAGTAAAATACAAGTAAAAGAATTTAATAATAAATAATACAATTAGTTTATTAATAATTATGAGCATAATTTAACTAATTATGGAAGTCAATGGGAACCAAAACTGTTTGGATACCAACATTCTTCAAAATATCTTCTTTCATGTTTCACAGAAGAAAGTCAGTCAAACAAGTTTGGAAAAACATTAGTAAACTATGACAGAACTGTCATTTTTGGTGGACTATTCTTTTCAACACAAACAGCCTATTGTTTTTAATCAATGCATACAGTGAAACATTTACAGAATTTGACAGGCAGGCGTTCTTGGCACAGACTGCAAATTTTTGTATGATACCTACTATGAAATACAATTTCTTTGGTCCGATCAAGCACGAGTCAATTGGATGAAATGCTAACAGCACAGACAAATGGATGCTTTAATGTTGTGTTTGCCAAGCAGGTCTTGATGATTCAACGTAAGTTTCAGATTCTGAAAGCAAACCATTGAAGCTCTGCTAGTAGGTTTAGAGTGGCTGTTCAGCACCAACAGACTTCATTAGATGCCTCTTCATAAAGGGAAGCATTAATAGAACATAATTGCAGGAAGAAGACAAGACAGAGTAGAGATACAGAATATACAGAAACAAAGAAAAGGCAAAATTAGGAAGAAATCAACAAACAAACTGGATTTCAAAAGGTTTGAAATCTCAGGCAAAAGAACATTTACATAAAATTTGCTGAAACAGAATATAAAACAGCACAGATGGAATCTGCTAAAGCATCCAAATTCTGCAGAAATTTATAGAGCTTTCCGTGTGCACAATTTTTTTATTGACAAAAGTGAATCTCTGGCCCTAACTGGTGACTTCTAGACTATAGGATGACACTTCATATGACTAAACACTAAGATCAATATAAAGACCAGGATCAATGCTTGAGATCTTTAGAACCCTGATTCTAAAATTAAATGCATGCACACGTAAAGAAACTAACAGAATAATGCAGCCATTTTCTTGTATTGTATATAAATGCAGGGTCAGATTAAGATGCTTTCCAATTAATAATCTGACTAATGAACAGCATGCCGTATTTTTAGATGGTTAGTTAGAATGTGCTTTTTAAAAGTTAATGTCAATGTGATAACAAAATTGAAATACACTGGCAAATATGGTGTCATAAAAGCATATGGTAAGAGAAGAAATGACATCCACCCTAACCCTGTGCTTATATAGTCAACATGAAAAATGTGAGGATTTATACAATTACGCATGCACAATTAATTCAGATTAAAACTAGGTGGTTATATATCAGTGGGAGGAAAATGATTTTGAACCCTATTCACTGAACGTGAACAATGATGATCATGTCTTAACACGATTTCAAGCTCATAACCATATCTTTTCTCATTTTCCTACACAAAAACAAACATTGGCACATGATGAGCTATTATTTATGGTAAGAGAAGAAATGACATCCACCCTAACCCTGTGCTTATATAGTCAACATGAAAAATGTGAGGATTTATACAATTACGCATGTACAATTAATTCAGATTAAAACTAGGTGGTTATATATCAGTGGGAGGAAAATGATTTTGAACCCTATTCACTGAACGTGAACAATGATGATCATGTCTTAACATGATTTCAAGCTCATAACCATATCTTTTCTCATTTTCCTACACAAAAACAAACATTGGCACATGATGAGCTATTATGATGTCATACAAGCACATAGGTCTATTCAGAGGACGGAAACACTCATTCAGTAAGACTGACAAAAGCACAAGGCCACAAAGATGGGTTACATAAAAAGATAGCGCCATTTCCCCCTCAATTTAGTTAAGCAATACATCCGTAGACAAAAGCACAGGCTGCTCTGTTCATGCTCAAGCAGTGGAACAACACATCTAATGCAGTGGCACTAAAAAGAGAAATGGCCGAATTCAGAGCACCTTTGTGGGATGTTGTTCAGTTGTGAAGTATGCAGCAAATTAAAAATAAAACACATTAAAATAAAACATACATTTGTTTAAGTATATGCAACTGGAACAAACAGGAAAAAGTCCTGTGTTTAAATCAACAGGTTAATATCTGAAGAAGGCCTTTGACTGAAATCTTTAATAAAAACAATGCAAAATACAGTTTCATGGATGCCAAGAAATATTCATGGTCAGGAAATTGGATTAACTGATAAGAATTGATCCAGTTTAATCAATTCAATACTGGCAATTATGGAATAAAGTTAATTTTGGACCTTGACTAAACGCAGATAAAAGGCCAGGCAGAGGTGTACTAAACTATCCGATTATTTTAGCAATAAATATTTGAAAGTTTAAAAGCTCTGGGAGTTTGAGGAGAGAGGAGAAGGGAGGGCAACAGCTGGGCAGAGAGACAGAGGTGGAACGTTGCCAACTAAATCAGAGCCTCAATAAAAACAATGCAAAATACAGTTTCATGGATGCCAAGAAATATTCATGGTCAGGAAATTGGATTAACTGATAAGAATTGATCCAGTTTAATCAATTCAATACTGGCAATTATGGAATAAAGTTAATTTTGGACCTTGACTAAAACGCAGATAAAAGGCCAGGCAGAGGTGTACTAAACTATCCGATTATTTTAGCAATAAATATTTGAGAGTTTAAAAGCTCTGGGAGTTTGAGGAGAGAGGAGAAGGGAGGGCAACAGCTGGGCAGAGAGACAGAGGTGGAACGTTGCCAACTAAATCAGAGCCTTGTCTTCCGAAAGCTTTAGTAGCTTAAGAGACAGACTACAGCAGCCGCTCTGTGCATGCAATCATTCCCTCACTGTACTCTGGCATCACCCCCTGCGTCAACACCATCATGGCGCTCTCCTGCCGCCAGCCTGGCTCCATGAACATCACACACACTGTTCAGTGACAGGCAAGTGGGCCGCACGTGCTAGCTATCACACTGCAGTGAGGGAGGGAAAAAAATTATAAAAATGACTCCCAGCTGAGGACTGAAGAGTCGGCAGTGCTGTGGTGTTCAAAAAGAGAGTATGGAGTGATGGAGTAAAGTGAGGAGACACAGAGACAGAGACTATGGGAGCTTGAATAATATAAACTGACAGGACAAGAAAAGCATGAAAAAACAGGAAGAAACCCATGAGAACAGATGAAAGAGACGGTGAAGATGATTATCCATTGGATGTACTACCATTTAATTAAACTGAATGTACTGCTGATCTTCACTATGATGACACATGTTTATTTTATTATATTTTTTTAATTTAGAGCAGGGGTGCTGATGGTGACTTTAAGGTAAATATAATGCAATTTAAAGGGATAGTTCACCTAAAAATAACGTGGGTGAGTAAATGATAGAATTTTCATTTTTGGGTCAACAAACCATTTAATGAATGCAAATAAAATGTACATAAAATTGCTCAAATGAAATGCACACTTATACTACGACTCAAATGTTTGGGGTCGGCAAGTATTTGAAAGAAATCTTTTTTGCTCACCAAAGCTGCATTTATTTGATTAAAAAAAAAATTTAAATAACTGTTTTCTATTTGATGATTTTGACTGATTTCTATTTTAAAATGTAATTCATTCCTGTAGTGGCAAAGTTGAATTTTTAGCAGCCATTACTCCAGTCTTCAGTGTCACCTGATCCTTCAGAA